AGTTGTGTTATTATATTGGTTTTTGTAATAGTAAAATAGTAAGAGTGTAACAATTGTTAAGTGTGTATATAAATATATATTATAACATGTGCATGAAGCATGTGTAAAATTCTTCATTAATTCAAAAGAATGTGCAATGGCACGTTCAGAATGCGATTATTGGAAAATGCAATGGAGCTTGTAGCGTAATAAACCCCAAAGTGATAATTTGTGTAATTATTTGTCATGATAGACACTCGTACAAACTGAATGCAATCAAAACCCTTCCTGTGTTCGCAAATGCCAGTAATTTCAATAAGTTTATTATCAATTGTAGTGCACACTCGAAAAGCAAACTTTAATTTGCATTTAGAGAAAAATATAAATAAATAAATAAATAAATAAATAAATATATATATATATATATATATGTATACCTATCTCGACTTGAATTCAAATATCATGCATTTTTCCTTATATAAATGTTTGCATATATATATATATATATATATATATATATATATATTGTAACAAATTTAATATGATTTTAACTTTAATTATTTATTTATTTTTTTTTTTTTTTTTTTTTTATGAAATAGATAAGTGAAATATTCGGTTAGAAGAAAACAAATATAATCTCAGAACTCTATAAATTTATTAACCAATTAATCGCATATATATATATATTTTTTTTTTTTAGTTTACGAACAAACACAAAGAAAGTCACATAAGGTTATGAGTTCGATATTAAAAAATTTGATATTTCGCCCAATATTAAACGCACGCATTCACACACATATCCATTCATACAATTTACAAATAAAATCGAATATCAAATTATTATTATTAAAAAATTTATATAAATCGTCATAAAATATGTTCAATTTGAGATTCTCGAAATACTAATTTATATCTTTAGTTATATTAAAATTCAATTTTCATGTGTGGTCAAGCAATAAAGTTATTTTCTTTTTTGTTATAAAATAAAGAAAATTATAATCGAATGAATTGGACTCACCAATTAGTCAAAATATATATCAGAAAAATCCTACGAACTTGTAGCAAGTCGAAATGAATTATTTACTCGTCGAACTTCCGGTCCACGTTTTCTTGATGCTCTGCTTCCTTTTTCTTATTATTATTGGAGCGATATGATGATCGAATTTCCAATTTTTTAGAGAGTGAAGGATCAGCAACAACGCAGAAATAATTTTGCAGAAGTCCGTCGATTATCAACAAAGATAATTTGGTGATTAGGTCCAATCCGAATGATTCAAGTAAAAGAGAACAGGCAACGAATCTGACGCCGACAAATGTGTTCTCACGATGCTCACAATTCGCTACATTTTTTTAAATAAATCATTTCATTTTAACAAATGCACAATATTAAAATATTTAAATAAAATTAACATGAATATTTACCCCAATCGGGCGTTGTCTTATAATTTGGAATCAGATCGATACTTTACTTATTTAAAAAGTTTCGAATATCCCTTTCGCATGTTAAACATGCCAAGGGTACTTGACCACTAAATACGACGAAATTCGACAATGCGACATCAAATTTATCTCCCTTCTACTTCTAATCTCCCACCTCTCGCAACACACACAACGATTCACGTACCTTAGAGATATCTAAATTCTTACAATGCACCCCTTTTCTTTTTTATACGATGACATACGACATACAAAAGAAAATTTACGCTAATCGTTGATACATATTTCTTTATACAAGACACATCCAATCCTCAACATGCCAATGAATAGCATCAAGAGCGAGCATTTTGCAAGAATTAGCTTGAATATCTTTTAGTTGCGTATACAACATTTCAAAGCTCTGGAGCTTGACAATATTTTCGAAGGTGGAAACGGTTGTAGGTGCCTTTAACTATATTTTCATCGTTTGAATCGACCAACACACACGCATTTTGATTTAAAATCTTGATGATACGAAACGGCCCCTCATACAAATGAAAAAATTTGTGTGTAACTCGCTGTGACGCATTGGATAAATGAGGTACCCTCAATAACACTAGATCATTTACTTGAAAATTAATTTTACTGACGTTTCCTTGATTTTTTAATCTTTTTTCAAACGATTGTTGCAAATTCTTTTGAGCAAGCTGTACATAGATTTCATTCGAAATTTGTCTATCTTTAATTGTCGGGAACAAATCAATAATTTTATCACGAGGAGTTCTACCATAGTGTAGAGTATACGGAACCGACCCAGTACTATGATGAGATACTACATTTAGACAATTTTGTATTGCAGGAATGTGCTTTGCCCAACTCGTGTGTTTATCGGAACATAAGGTCCTAAAAAGCCGTCCCAATTCCCTCATTGTTCGCTCCACAGGATTCGACTGTGGGTGTCTAATCGACGAAAAAATTGCCTTAACTCCTTCCGCTTTTAAACTATTTTTCCATAGTGGGGACGTGAATTGTGTCCCGTGATCAGACAGTATTTGACCCGGCCTTCCTACATTCACAAAATAATGGTCCTTTAATTTTTTCAAACATATTTTTGTATTTGCCTTTTTTATCGGGTACAACGAGACCAATTTCGAAAACAAATCCTGAACAACAAAAATATATGTAACACCAGCTACAGAAACGGGTAATGGCCCATAAAAATCCACCGCGATCATTTGATTTGGTTTCGACGCTTTTACAAATTGATAAACACCCTCAGTCCGATAATTTAAACATTTTGTCCGTTGACATAAATCGCAACTTCGCGTGTAATTTTTAATATCACGACGCATATATCGCCAATAAAACAATTTACTCAAATACTCGTGCATCTTATAACCTCCCACATGACAAAATTGCTCGTGAACCGCCTTTAATATTTTTCCCACCAGATTTCTAGGCATTGCAACTCTCCAATTTTCATCGCGACTAGCTTTAAAATATATTATTCCATTAACATTTTTAACCCTCAACTCCGACGAATTCTTTTTTATCAACTCCTGTATATCCACATCTACTCGCTGAGCATCACCAAGATTTTTTAATTCAGAAATTATTTCTTTATTAAAATCAATACTAGGGATTTTCGTTTGACTTGTCGATTCACCCAAAATTTCTCGCTCAAGACTATTAATCATCAATTTTCCTATAAGAAATTGATTTCGATTATCTACTGATGTCTCATTTTCGAAATTTCGGCTGAAAAAATCGGCAATCAAATTGTCTGAACCCTTACAATGAAGAATATCAAATTGATATTCTTGCATGAATAAGATCCATCTCATTAAGCGAGCATTGTGATACGGGGTTGATAATAAAAACGTCAACGCTTGATGGTCCGTGATAATTTCGAACTTCCAACCCAACAGATACATTCTAAACTTTATAAGGCAATAGACTACAGCTAAGAGCTCTTTTTCAGACGTTGTATATCTAGTTTCACATTGTGTAAGAACTCTACTTGCTAACGATACAATCCTATAATCCCCATTATCATCCTCCTGATAAAGGATACCGCTGAGACCAATATCACTAGCATCAGTCTGAAGTTTAAATTTTTTATGAGGCAAATAATGACTTAGAGTTACTGCATGCAGGAAATTTCTTTTTAAATTATTAAAAGCCTGCGTGTGTTTTTCTGTCCAAGACCATTTATTTGCGCTACTTAATAAATCCCTAAAAGGCCCTATAAATTCCGAATGCCTTATGCTAAATCGCCTATAATAACCACAAACGCCCAAAAATGCTTGCAATTGTCTCCTATCCCTGGGACACGGAAAATCAGCAATCACGGACAATTTTTTTTCTTCGGCTCGGATTCCCTCAGACGATAATTTAAATCCTAAAAAGGACACTTCTTCCCTAAAAAACATAGATTTATTTAAACTAAGGGTAAAACCTGCCTCCTCTAATTTAATAAATAAACTTTCCAGATGATTCAAATGCTCTTCAAATGTCCTCGAAGCTATAAGTATATCATCGACGTAGCACGAGATATACTCCTCGAGTTCCTGACCCAAAGCTAAACTCAACGCTCTAATGAAGCCACTACCTGCTGTCTTCAACCCAAACGGAACACGATTAAATTCATACAGATGCCCATCAAATAGGAAGGCTGTATATTGTTTAGAGTCCTCCTCAAGAGGAATTTGCCAATAACCCGAATTCATATCAGTTGTAGATAAAAACCTAACACCTTCAAATTTTTGCATTAATTCCTCTATACGTGGTGGACACTCGTTATCGCAATCAATTTTATCATTTATAAATCGTGCGTCTAAACAGACCCTAATTTCTCCATTCTTTTTTACCACTATACGAAGCGGATTGCAATGCCTACTATTAGAACGTCTTATAATATTTAATCTCTCCATGTGATCCAAAACCCCGCGTACACCTGCTCTTTGACTTAACGCGACAGGATAAGATTTTCGAACGATTGATCTATTATCCTTTAATACAATTGAGTGACTGTACACATTTGTACATCCTGGAATCTTAGAGAAAACTTTTTCATATTTCAACAATAACGCTCTTACTTGTTCCTTTTGATCATGATCTATACTATTGATCTGTGATACACAATCATCTACCTCACCAATGAAATCAGAATCGCACTCCGACATATACATGACATTTTTTATTTCCTCATTATTTTGAATGGGCCCCAAAGCAGCATTAAATGAATCCTCAATATCAACAATTATTTCCTCTCTCTTTTTTATTCCATTTCCTAATCTACTTTGCGATCCTTCCGAATCATACCATAAAATTCCTTCCGTTTTTATAAGTCTACACGAAGCATTCATTTCGCGAGCCATTCGAAATGTCACAAATTTTTCGGATAAATCTTTTTCTCCTAATCTAATGCGTTGATTCGCAACGTCAATGACACATTTAAATCGTACCATCCAATCAATTCCGACCAAGACACTTGTTAATAATCCCGGAACAACTAAAAAGGGAAAATCTAAAATTTCCGTATCAATTTTAACCGATAATTGTACCTGTCGTTTTATTGTGGTTGATTTTTTACCGACGGCGACATTAACTGTCACGTTATTTACAGGTAATTCTGTTATTTTACAATTAGTTTTTAATTGATTATAGAATGCCTCAGAAATAACTGTTACTTCGCTGCCGCTATCAACCAAGATTGGTACCTCATTTTCTTCAATTATCGCGCGAATACGAGGACTAACTATTTTCATTTCTAAATTTTCGACAGACGTTTTTTTTTGTGGGCTCAACATCCCAACACAAATCCTCTAAAAACTCGGACATATTCGATTTATTAATCACTCGAACGCTCGATCCAGGATTATTATCATTTATATTATTTTTTTCCCTTATTTGATTATTTTCCGATATTTTATCTCGTTGTTGTTCTCGATAATATTGTGGATTATTATTTACCGGCCTATGTCTCCAATTTCGGGAACGATCATTATCTTCGGGACCAGCCTTGGCTGAATTTACATTACCGCGTTTTTCGTCATTGTGAGATTCAGATCGATCATAACCTTGTCGAGCTTGCCCAAATTGATTTTTACAATTATTAGATTTTTCCGAAAAATTACTATTACTATGAGACCTTGACGGCACCCCTATTTCCGCATCACCACGAGTCACATCCAAACGTGATAACGTCTGACTTATTTTTGATGTATCCATATAATCAATCGTTGCCAATACTTCGCGAGCTCGTTGCGGTAATTGTTTCACTATCAAATAATTTACTTCGTATTCTTGAAGAGAAGTTAAACAAAATTTCGCGTCGCGTAATTGCTCTACGTAGTATGCTTGCAACGACTGATCACTGTCCTTAAACCGGCGATTCTCCCACTTAGATTTAGCAACCATTCTTGCCTCAATCGAATAAAACTCCTCAAGGAATTTATCTTTAAAATGTGAATAAGTTATAAAAGGGAAAACTCGCGCATCATACCATAATTTTGCTCGGCCTATCATCGCATCTTCAACCATTAATAATTTCGCGTCATCAGAAACATTTTTTCTCACAAAATATTTTTCAAGTTGTTTAATAAATTCTATTGGATTTAATTTTATTCCATCAAATTTTGGCAAAGGAGTCGTAACCTGCATTGATTGAAAATAATTCATTAAACCCGTAACTAAAATATCTTGTTTATCATTTCGACAACCCCCGATATTGATACAACTTTGATTAGAAGAATCAATCGATTTTCGATTTTCATAAGCATTACATTGATTACCCGGTTGCAAAATTTTTTTATTTTCAAAATTATCGTCATGCGTCGTTTGGTCGATTACATTTTGATTTACAAAATTAGTTTTCTCTTTAAATACCTCAATTTCTTCAGTTTGTATAGAAGAATCAACCTTGTTTCCACCTTCGCTGTTATTTTTCATATGTTCGACTATGTCCTTGAACCGTAATATTTCCTGACGCAAGACTGTATTTTCCTTTTCGGCTTCTATACGTTGTTTGCTAATTCTCGCCAGCTCCTCTTTCAGCTCATCCATTGCCTGTTGATTAAACGACATTGTTCGAGGTGACTCACACTTGTCGCTTTTGTTTGTATTACTCCCAGAACGAGTTTCAACCATCAATCATGAAAATAAAATTCAGACAAATTAAAATTTGATAATATATAAAATATTTCAAAAATTACAAAAACCTCAAATTGCCACTACGTTGGGCGCCAATTGTAACAAATTTAATATGATTTTAACTTTAATTATTTATTTATTTATTTTTTTTTTTTTTTTTTTATGAAATAGATAAGTGAAATATTCGGTTAGAAGAAAACAAATATAATCTCAGAACTCTATAAATTTATTAACCAATTAATCGCATATATATATATATTTTTTTTTTTTTTAGTTTACGAACAAACACAAAGAAAGTCACATAAGGTTATGAGTTCGATATTAAAAAATTTGATATTTCGCCCAATATTAAACGCACGCATTCACACACATATCCATTCATACAATTTACAAATAAAATCGAATATCAAATTATTATTATTAAAAAATTTATATAAATCGTCATAAAATATGTTCAATTTGAGATTCTCGAAATACTAATTTATATCTTTAGTTATATTAAAATTCAATTTTCATGTGTGGTCAAGCAATAAAGTTATTTTCTTTTTTGTTATAAAATAAAGAAAATTATAATCGAATGAATTGGACTCACCAATTAGTCAAAATATATATCAGAAAAATCCTACGAACTTGTAGCAAGTCGAAATGAATTATTTACTCGTCGAACTTCCGGTCCACGTTTTCTTGATGCTCTGCTTCCTTTTTCTTATTATTATTGGAGCGATATGATGATCGAATTTCCAATTTTTTAGAGAGTGAAGGATCAGCAACAACGCAGAAATAATTTTGCAGAAGTCCGTCGATTATCAACAAAGATAATTTGGTGATTAGGTCCAATCCGAATGATTCAAGTAAAAGAGAACAGGCAACGAATCTGACGCCGACAAATGTGTTCTCACGATGCTCACAATTCGCTACATTTTTTTAAATAAATCATTTCATTTTAACAAATGCACAATATTAAAATATTTAAATAAAATTAACATGAATATTTACCCCAATCGGGCGTTGTCTTATAATTTGGAATCAGATCGATACTTTACTTATTTAAAAAGTTTCGAATATCCCTTTCGCATGTTAAACATGCCAAGGGTACTTGACCACTAAATACGACGAAATTCGACAATGCGACATCAAATTTATCTCCCTTCTACTTCTAATCTCCCACCTCTCGCAACACACACAACGATTCACGTACCTTAGAGATATCTAAATTCTTACAATATATATATATATATATATATATATATATATATATATATATATATATATATATATATATATATATATATATATATATATATATATATATATATATGTGTGTGTGTGTATTATACATATAAATAGCTTTTATTTTTAAACCACTTTTTAATTTGTCCTGAATTTATTAACTAATAAAAAATAATAAATCAATTTGTTAAAAAATTAACTAATTAAACCATAAACAAATTTATTGTTTATGAGTTAATCAAATTGTTCACTGTTGACACATTTGTTGATTCATGAATAAAAATTTGTTTCTTTACTTATTTGTTAACTAAATTAGTTTATAAATTTGTTTATGAGTAAGAATTTTTGAAACGTGCCACCTAAAATTCAAAAAATTTATTTTTGGCCAAAATGTTGTTTTTTCTATAGTGCTTTACATAAAAAAAACACTATGTCAAAGGATTTGCCAAAAAAAAAATTTTTGTTATTGTTATAAACAATTAAAGTTTTCAGACATTTTTTTTTAAAAAATTAATTAAAAAGAAACTTGTTAACCGATTTTAATGATTCAAGAGGCATTCTTTTTTATTTGAGTCAAAGTTTTGAATAAAATTTTTTTCGTAAAAAAATATTGAGATTTAATAAATAAACAAATTATTTATTTATAACAAATTAGCAAAAAACCATGTTCTCAATCGAATTTCAAAATGAAAAAAATAGTACTTATTCTCTGATTACCACTGAGTAATATTCCGTTGAGAAAAAAAATGGCACGGCTTGGACAACTGACTTATTTAAACATTGTTTATCCCGAGCAGAACGGGATTTGCATGTGACGTCACGCGCAGCGGTCCTTTGACGCGGGAATCTAAGAGAATATCAGAGGAATATCAAAAATAATATTAAAATAATGTTTAAGTATTTCTTATGGACGAAAAAAACTATAACAATTTAATTAATTGTTTAAACAATTAATTTTTGTTATTTTTTCATAAACAGTAGTTAGGGCTAGAAATTTCTAGTCTTCTCGCAATTTCTCAATTTTTCAATGAGTAAAACATCTACTAATGATAATTTTTAGTTTTGTTATACTTAAGTGCTTTCGTTACAAAAAATGCATAATATAGAAAAAGAACAAGTAATTTCTAACTCTAATTGCAGTTATGAAAAAAAAAAACAATTAATTGTTTTAACAATTTAATAAATAAGTAATTTTTAGTTTTAATTATTAATATATGTTTACGCCTGAAAAATTGCATACTTGAGAAAAAACTTTAAATTTCTAGCCCTAAGTACAGTTTATGAAAAAAATAACAACAATTAATTATTGTTTAAACAATGTTTAATTAATTTATTTTTTATTTTTTATCATTAGTAGATGTTTTACTCATTGAAAAATTGAGAAATTGCGAGAAGACTAAAAATTTCTAGCCCTAACTACTGTTTATGAAAAAATAACAAAAATTAATTGTTTAAACAATTAATTAAATTGTTATAGTTTTTTTCGTCCATAAGAAATACTTAAACATTATTTTAATATTATTTTTGATATTCCTCTGATATTCTCTTAGATTCCCGCGTCAAAGGACCGCTGCGCGTGACGTCACATGCAAATCCCGTTCTGCTCGGGATAAACAATGTTTAAATAAGTCAGTTGTCCAAGCCGTGCCATTTTTTTTCTCAACGGAATATTACTCAGTGGTAATCAGAGAATAAGTACTATTTTTTTCATTTTGAAATTCGATTGAGAACATGGTTTTTTGCTAATTTGTTATAAATAAATAATTTGTTTATTTATTAAATCTCAATATTTTTTTACGAAAAAAATTTTATTCAAAACTTTGACTCAAATAAAAAAGAATGCCTCTTGAATCATTAAAATCGGTTAACAAGTTTCTTTTTAATTAATTTTTTAAAAAAAAGTGTCTGAAAACTTTAATTGTTTATAACAATAAAAAAAATTTTTTTTTTGGCAAATCCTTTGACATAGTGTTTTTTTATGTAAAGCACTATAGAAAAAAGAACATTTTGGCCAAAAATAAATTTTTTGAATTTTAGGTGGCACGTTTCAAAAATTCTTACTCTTATGAATCTGATTCATTATTTTAAAATAAATTTATAATAACTAATTTGTTAAGTAAATTATTAATGAAACTACTAACGAATTTCTTTACTATTTTATTAATAAAAGAATTGGGTAATTATTTCTTGAAGAATTTATTAACAGGTTTCTCAAATAAATTTATTCTTAAATTTGTTAATTTTATTTATATTTTATATTTATAAATAAATTTATAAAAATTTATTAATAAATTTATTAATTAATGTGTTCTTTTACATGATAATAAATTTTATAACTGAGTTAGCAATTAATTTATTACTAAAATTTCAAGTTTTTAAATAATTTGTTTACTTGTTTATTAAAGAATTTGTTTACTTATTCATTAATAAGTTTGTGTACTTGTTTATTATTAAAAAACTTAAATAAATTTCGTAATTATTTTAGTAACTAATACTGAAGTAATTAATGAATTAGTTTATTATTTTGTTGATAAAATTGTTTACTTATTTGTTCATAAATATATTAAAAGTTTTGTTAACAAATTCTTTAAAAAATTTGTTAATTAAAATCTTTTTTTAATAATGAATTTAATAACTGAGTAGATGAATTCGTTTACTTATTTGTTAGCAAATATGATAATTAAATTTGTTAAGGGGACTTTCTGGGTCAGAAATGGTAAAAAACACATTTTTTGAAACGCTAATTATAAAAAAATTTATTATTGTTATTGCGAAAATTCCTTTTGGATATTATTACATGTTACAAAAAGAGAATTAAAGAATTTTTTTTGAGTATTTTTTGAAAGGTGCCTTTTGTTAGGTGAGACAGTTTCTGGGCAACCTATTTTACAGAAATTAAACATTCAAACGGAGTTCTCTTCATAAGGGTTTTCTCTAGATAACGAACATCAAAAACAATTTTTTAAAATGTTTTACAATTTTTTATACACATTTTTCTTAAAAAATCGAAAAAATGTTTTGAAACCATAAAAATTGTTATAACTTTTTTCTTCTGTACATTTTTTCAAAAATGTTACGGGACAGTAATTTTATGATACTAAGGAACATTTTAAAGCAAAAAAAGACCAGAAAGTCCTCTTAACTAATTTTTAATTTAATTTTTATCTAAATTTGTTAATAAATTACTTTACTACTTTGTTAATAAATTATTTTACTACTTTGTTTATCAATAAGTTCACATATATATTTGTTAATAATTTGTTAACAGTTTTATTTATCAATCTGTTTTCGAATTTTTTGACAAAGGTGCTAATTTGTCTATTTCTTTCTTGAAGAAATTGATACAAATTTGTTAACTTGTTGATAACTTTATTGTCAATTCATTTGTGAATTCATTAATTAATTTGCTCATTTCTTTTTTAATAAAGTTTACTTATATGTTAATAAATTTTTCTACTTACTTGTTTCTGAATTTATTAATAAATTTGTTTACAAGATTTTTAACAAATTAGATTAAAAACTTGATTAAAGAGAAGTAAGAAAAATTAATTAAATCTTTTTCTAATTAAATAGTCCCATAAATATAAATTCTGACCTGCCCAGTGAGAAATTGCCAATAGACTTTAATCGGTCCAATATCGGTCCAATATTGGTTGCCGTGCTGGGCGCCGATTGACTCCCAATATTGGACCAATATGGGCTGATGCTTGGGATGTAACGGCATCGCCAATCATCGGTTGTCAATATTGGTCCAATATTGGCCGAATATTGGCAACCAAGAGAAAAAAATTTTTTAAATAAATTTTTTTTAATTAAATAATAATAAAAAATTATTGTTTATAATTTTTGTTTAATATATTTATTTGTTTAATTATTTATTTTTAACAATTCATGTAAATAATAAATAATTTATTATTTATAAATTATAATTATTTAAAAATGCAGCAGCTATTAGAAAATAACATTCTGCAAAAAAATTCTATCATTGAAAAATCAATGATAGGCGAGAGAAATCCGCGTCTTTAAATAGATTCGCAGATGATAGACAAGAGATATCCGCGTCATTAAACGGATTCGCAGATATACTCTGGTCTCGCGACGAATCTCTCGATACTTATATACACTGGAGTCGCCGTGTCAGTTGCGAGAACGGTTACAGCGTCCCTCTTCTTTCGTAGTATGAGATGAATTTGAAAGACTTCTCTCTTTAGTGCAGCATTTGAAAATAAGAAAAAAACAACTTTTATGCGGCTACATTCGGAGAACACGTGTTCATGCATAAATGCAAAAGGGGTCGTTTTGACTTTAATTACCAGCATCTGTGGGAACAGATTCTAAAAATTTGGCATTGACTCTAGTTATTACATTAGTCAACAGGTGATAATTTCCACAGTTTTGAGGACAATTACCCCAAATTACTGTACATTATACTTCATTCCTTGCATTGCAAAAATATTTGCCTTGCAAATTCATTCCGAAACAATTACATTTCGTATATATTTCTTCATGTTTTAAAATTTCAAATATTTTAATTTTCTCTTCATTTCAAATTTTCCTTAAGTACTTGCACCCAGTGAGAAATTTCTCACCGGTCCAATATCGGTCCAATATTGGGAGCCAAGAGACCGATCATCGGTCCAATAAAGGCTCCCAATATTGGACCAATATGGGCTAATGCTTGGGATGTAACGGCATCGCCAATCATCGGTTGTCAATATTGGTCCAATATTGGCCGAATATTGGCAACCAAGAGAAAAAAATTTTTTAAATAAATTTTTTTTAATTAAATAATAATAAAAAATTATTGTTTATAATTTTTGTTTAATATATTTATTTGTTTAATTATTTATTTTTAACAATTCATGTAAATAATAAATAATTTATTATTTATAAATTATAATTATTTAAAAATGCAGCAGCTATTAGAAAATAACATTCTGCAAAAAAATTCTATCATTGAAAAATCAATGATAGGCGAGAGAAAT